CAGAATATTGAATGATATTCCAAGTACTGTATAACCTGCATTACACTGGAAAAACGACATCTTTTGCCTTGGATAGAAGGCTATAGAATAGAAATGGCCTTCTATGAAACTGCACTGATTATAGCAGACTTCAGTCTGTTCTGAACCATTAACCTCACATCCTGACTGTTTTCCACATAATACTGTCCTACTTCATATCATCATTGTGAGTCTCTTCAAGTGCCCTGTTTGGATCATTATGTTAACAAATGTATTGTATTTTTTATGACCAGTCAGTCAAATTTTCCAGAATTCTGAATGTAAATATGTCACCTTTTGTATCTGATATAAATTAGAACCTCAAATAACGAAACCTCACTTCAAAAAACATTATCTGAAAAAGAAAGTCACATGCCCCACAAATTTCACATAAGGAAAGTTTAAATAATTCCAATTTATTTTAGAAGCACCTATAGGTCACACAGTGAGAGACAGTGCCTATCCCAAAGAGCTTACAACCTAAGGCTATGTCTACCCTATGAAATTACAGTGGCACAGTTGTACCGCTGCACTAGTGCGGCTGTAAAGTCTCATGTGTAGCCAATCTAAGCCAGCGGGAGAGAGCTCTCCTGCCAGCATAATTAAGCCATCCCCAATGAGCAGTGGTGGTAGCTATGTCGGCAGGTGAGCGTCTCCTGACGACATAGTGCTGTCCACACTGGCGCTTCTGTTGGTGACATTTTTGTCGGTCGGGGGGTGTTTTTTCAAACCCCAACCAACAAAAATTTTACCAACAAAAGTGCTAGTATAGACATACCCTTAGTCACTTCACCTCTCTGCCTAAGTGTCCTTCTCTTCAAGAAGGTTGCCTACCTACCTATGTTACAAAGGAGTTATGAGGATTAATTAGTTAATATCTGTAAAGTGCTATAAAAACATGTCAAATACTAAGTAGTATTATCACCAATTTGCAGTTCAGAAACTGAGGCAGAGACCAATTAAGTGACTAGTTCAAAGGTCACATAAAATAAAATGTAAGAGTGACATGAGAGAGTCATAATCATTACAAACCCCTTTAAACCCCTATACTAGCCAGAGTTGACACCTGTAGGAGGTATATATAGCACATTCATCACTTGAAACCAGAAGTAGGAAATGGCAGCTCCTGCTGAAAAGAGTTTTCTGGTCTTCAAGTCATTTTCTAAGAAACCTTTGAAACTGAAAACATTTGAATCCCTGCCACCACAGATTGTTTTTTTTGTTTTTTTTTTTTACGGGGATCAACAAATGTTCATTGTACCTGATGGCCAAGTAGCCTACCAAAGAAAGTGGTTTAGAAGTTTGCAATATATTTTCTTGTCCACATAATTCATTTAATTTAATTGGTTGCAACTTCATCACATTTAATAGCACTGTACAGGGTCGCCCGGGGGAGGGAGGCAAGTGGGGCAATTTGCCCTAGGCTCCGCGCTCCACAGTGGCCCCGCCGAGAATATACTATTCTACAGCATTGCAACTATTTTTTATGGAAGGGGCCCCCAAAATTGCCTTGCCCTAGGCTCCCTGAATCCTCTGGGTGGCCCTGGCACTATAATCTCAAACAAATATTGCATATGTCTGTAAATCCACTTAATCCTCCTTGCTTAGATTAAAGTAGGCATTGGATCTATTTTGTAGTCATAATTTTGCAACATAATATCATGATACTGTGTAATATTATTTTTTTTAAAATTGCATCACAAGATCATTAAGGTTTTCTTAGTTAAGAGCACATATGTCAGGAAATACCAGAATGAAGTCTGCAATATTAACTCTTCCCTCTTGTGCATATGCATTATATTAGTATTTTATTAAGTGATGATACACATTTCTAAAATAATACTATGCAAAGGGGACTGGCAACGTTTGGCACACGGCCCGCCAGGGTAAGCACCCTGGTGGGCCGGGCCAGTTTGTTTACTTGCCGTGTCCGCAGGTTCGGCCGATCGCGACTCCCAGGCCAATGAGAATGACCTTGAGAATATTTCAGCAATCACTTATGTGTTCTGTGACTTGAAAGACCCAAACACACATCAAGAACAGCATTTTAGGACATCTGGAATCCATGCAAGTTTATTTCGGCATATCTGGCTGCAATGGCCATACTTGAATTTAGCAACCACCTCAAATTTTCGGCAACACTGGTGGTGATTTTCCTTTTAAACTCAATTGTACATTCAACATCCAAATTTCTACAAGTCATCTCTTTAAGGTCAAATAAAGTTTTAAACCTAGAGATGGCTGAGAGCTTACACATGCTACAGTATTTCCTTCTCACCTGGGTTTGAGGGGAAGTAAAGCTATAAACATTTAAAAAAAAATACAAATGAAAGAAAGGGCAAGTTGATAGTAAAGAATGTCAATCAGAAGGTAGGAATTGTAGACAACTTGATAAGGGAAGCAAAAGGCTACAAGGAGGCACCCTTTGGCCAGCAGAGTTAAGGAGTTTTTTAAATATATTAGAAACCAAAAGAATCCTGACCTTGATTTTGGTCCACTACTAAATGGCAATGGTAGAATATTCAATAATAATGCAGAAAAGGCAGAAGTGATCAATAAATATTTCTGTTTTGTACTTTTGTAAAAATAACAGATAACAGTCTCATAATATGGTCATGATGATAACATTCTTTCTATTCCACTAATATATCTGGAGGATATTAAATAGAAGCTACTAAACTTAGTAGTCGAGTGGGTGTGTTTCTAGTGGGGTCCCTCAAAGATCAGTTCTTAGCCCTATGCTATTTAACATTTTTATCAATGACTTGTGGGAAAATTACATATAATGATCATTGGTAAAGTTGGCAGATGACACAATAATTAGCATAATGTAAATAATGAAGCAGAGAGGTCACTGATTCAGAGCAATCTCGATTGCTTGGTAAACTGGGCGCAAGCAAACAATATGCGTTTTAATATGGCTAAACATAAATTTACAAATCTAGGAACAAAGAATATAGGTCATACATACAGGATGGGGACTGTATCCTGGGAAGCAGTGACTCTGAAAAAAGACTTGGGGGTTGTGGTGGATAATCAGGTGAAAATGAGCTGCTAATGTGATCCTGGGATGCATAAACAGGGGGATCTCAAGCAGGAGTAGAGAGGTTATTTTACCTCTATATTTGGCACTGGTGCGACTATTGCTGGAACATCCAGTTCTGGTGCCCACAATTCAAGAAAGATGTTTATAAAACTGGAGACAGTGCAGAGAAGAGCCATGAGAATGATTATCACTATAGTGCATGTTTTCTAATCCTTTAGACTCAAGGAGCTCAATCTATTTAGCTTAACAAAAAGAAGGGTAAGGTGTGACTTGTTTACAGTCTATAGGTATCTACATGGGGAACAAATATTTAATAATGGTCTCTTCAGTCTAGCAGAGAAAGGTATAAAATAATTCAATGGCTGGAAGTTGAAGCTAGAAAATCTCAGACTGGCAATAAGGCATAATTTTTTAACATGAGAGTAATTAGCCAATGGAACAATTTACCAAAAGTCATGGTGGATTCTCAGTCACTGACAATTTTAAATCAAGAATGGATTTCTTTTCCTAAATGATTTATTCTAGAAACTATTTTAGGAAAGTTTTATGGCCTGTGTTATACAGAAGGTCAGATTAGATGATCACAGTGGTCCCTTCTGATCTTGGAATCTATGAATCTATTCTTCCTTCTATAAAAAGGAAATTCAATATACAACTGATCATTCATTTTAAAGCCTCAATATTAAAAGCTCCTTACAAGTTAGCTAATTCAATTTTAAGAGGTATTTTTCCCTATACACGAAGAGAAAACAGACACTAAATTTGAATAACTTATTTCTGATTAAAAGAAAAATAAAGGAGACCAAAGTAAAGATCCTATCAGAAAGCACCCAGTGCATTTATCCCCTCTGGTGACAGTCATCACTGAAAAGACAAAATGGCTGCCTGTCTCTTTAGACAGCATAGTCATTGGACGAACAAAGGCTTAGCAATTACCACCCAAAAACAGATGAGAACAAGAGGCCTAACACCTGAGGTATGTACTCAGAGACCAGAAAAAGGACAGAAGTGAAGTTAGTCCCGTAACCATGACAGTGGGAATTTGGTGTTAGGGTTTATAGTTCTGGAGAGTGAATACAATGTGGGCAGATGGGCATATTCTTGTAATCAAGTTACATGTGAGTTAACATCTGAAGTCTCAGCCTATGTAGAGTTACATTTGAACAGGATGATGATGTAATGTCAATGTTAATGGGTTATCAGTTCACTTCATTTGCTGAAAAATTATGATATAGCCAACAGTAGGGGCAGCTTTCCAGGGCTATAGGGAGCTAACACTCATATATCATAACAATATTTCCCTACCTCACTGGGGTGTTGTAAGGATAAATTTATGAATCCTTGCAAGGCACTTTGATGATCAGGGCCACACAAGTACCTTGAAAGACAAATAGCAAGACTCCAGTTGTCTTCAGCAAGACCAGGGCTTTTCCCTAAGCGCTCTCTCTTTCCATTAGTTTATTACATATACTCACGTAGCCCATGTTCCTCCCATTTTCCATGCCCCCAACTGCCCTCCATCTCAGCCTATGCAGAGGACCCCTAACCAGTGTGGAGGGGTTGCAGTTGAGAGAACCCGCTGAACGGCTACTACACCACCAACCCTGCCAAGGACTAATTGATCCGAGGGAGGGCTTTGCAGTGTGCATGCATATCAAGGTGAAATTTATCATGACACTTTTTAGATACTCATAGGTGTAAAGTCCTAAACAAAGTGCCTAATTAAACCCACTTCCTTATTTTTCTCAAAGACCACTAGTTACCAGCCACACAGTCAAGTTGCCAGTCCTCCACAATTAATACGCTCTTTGATAAAGTACAATAAGCATTAAGAGGAACTAAAATAGATAACTTATCACAGATCAGTTTAAGCATATGATAAAGTTAAGAAAATGCTTTTTGAACAAACTTTGACATGTACAGCAGAAAGATTTACCTTGAAAAGCAGCTGCATTATGAGATATTAAAAACTTTAAAGTAGAGCTTGATGTTTGAAGCACTTGTTGTATATCCTGCTTTACTACAATCTGGTATCTCTCCTCCATCTTTTTGGTACAACACGTTAGATTTTTAGATGTACAAACTTGAAGATCAGCCCCTAGAGAAAGAAATACACTTTTATTTTCCAAATTTATCATTATTTGTACAGTGCACTGTGACATACAAGATCATAGAAACATAGAAGATCAGGGTTGGAAGAGACCTCAGGAGGTCATCTAGTCCAAACCCCTGCTCAAAGCAGGACCAACCCCAACTAAATCATCCCAGCCAGGGCTTTGTCAAGCCAGGCCTTAAAAACCTCTAAGGATGGAGATTCCACCACCTCCCTAGATAACCCATTTCAGTTCTTCATCACTCTCCTAGTGAAATAGTTTTTCCTAATATCCAACCTAGACCTCCCTCACTGCAACTTGAGACCATTGCTCCTTGTTCTGTCATCTGCCACCACTGAGAACAGCTTAGCTCAGTGGTGGGCAACCTGTGGCCTCTGGGCCGTATGCAGCCTATCAGAATAATCCGCTGGCAGGCCACAAGACAGTTTGTTTACATTGCCCGTCTGCAGCTCCCAGTGGCTGCGGTTCACCATTCCTGAACAATGGGAGCTCCAGGAAGTGGCACACGCTGGCCACTGCTTCCCGCAGCTCCCATTGGCCGGGAACTGTGAACCGCGGCCACTAGGAGCTGCTGGCAACCATGCCTGCGGACAGTCAATGTAAACAAACTGTCTTGCGGCCTGCCAGCGGATTACCCTGACAGGCCACGTGCAGGTTGCCCACGACTGGCCTAGCTCCATCCTCTTTGGAACCTCCCTTCAGGTAGTTGAAGTCTGCTATCAAATCCCTCCTCACTCTTCTCTTCTGCAGACTAAATAACCCCAGTTCCCTCAGCCTTGCCTCATAAGTCATGTGTCCCAGACTCCTAATAATTTTCATTGCCCTCTGCTGGACTCTCTCCAATTTGTCCACATCCTTTCTGTAGTGGCGGGCCCAAAACTGGATGCAATACTCCAGATGTGGTCTCACCAGTGCCGAATAGAGGGGAATAATCACTTCCCTCAATCTGCTGCAATGCTCCTACTAATGCAGCCCAATATGTCATTAGCCTTCTTGGCAACAAGGGTACACTGTTGACCCATATCTAGTTTCTCGTCCACTGTAATCCCCAGGTCCTTTCCTGCAGAACCGCCGCTTAGTCGATTTCCCTTTTGTAACAAAGATGACATAGGTCAGGGGTGACCAAACTGTGGCATAAGGCTCTTTTACAGTTAAAGTGTGGCTCACAGAGTCCACCCCCCCCCCCCCAACCCTCCTGCCCCATTCTTCTTCACCCTACCAGACTTGGTGGTGGGGAGCTTGAGACTTCCACCTTGCAGCAGGGTGGTGGAGTAGGGGCTTCTGCCCAGCAAGGTGCGGGGGGGGGGAGAAAAGGGCAGGGGGAATCTTGGGCCTTCAGCCCCCTGGGGCATGCCTGCTGGGGCTTGGGGCTTCAGCAGGAACAGGGCTGAAGCCCCAAGCCCTGACAGGTGCCTCCCATGGGACAGAAGCCCCGAACCCGGACTGGTGCACCCCAGCTATCAAATTTCTGAAGATTGTTGTATGCAGCTCGGAGGGTCAGTAAGTTTGGCCACTCCTGACATAGATGAAAGCATTACCCAAAGCTCTCAAAGATGTCTGGTCCTGTTCCACAAAAAACAGATCCATGGAGAATTTTTATTTATCTTGTTTATTTGAATACCTGATATGTTTTCCCCTTTATAAAGTAATGCAGAGCAATGAAAAGTGTAAAGATCTAAGAAGAAAAATTAATATTTTAATTAAAAAACTGCAGTGTATCCAAATGTTCACTTCTAAAAATGGGTAAATCAACATTTCCAGGAAAAAAAGTTATAACTTTAAACATAGCATTATTTAAAAGGTCTGTCTAAGAGTTAAATTCTGTTCTCAAATACAGAACTTTTATTGATATGTATCAAGAGATTTCTTAGGAATTTACATGAGAAATCCTCTTAAATCTGCTCTCTGGTTGAAAGTCTAATTCTGTTGCTAGGTTTACATGCTGGAGCCTCCTCATGACAGATGGAAGAGGAGAACAATAGGATGAGGACTGCAAGATTGAAAATGGGGAAATTGCCCAGGATAAAACTGACAAAACCTGATGTCATTTACTCTTGACTTCTAACCACACTGCTACCCATTCTCATTCACCTTTCATTCCCCTGGCTTTGAATCTACAAGAGCTTTTATACATATATACATATAATTCCTTTAGCTACTTTTTAAATCCTATTTCTAATCCTCTCTGTTAAATCATTCCAAGATACGGTAAATAATATTTGAGGAATGGAGGCATACATTTTATACAATGAATATTTCATGAGAGGTCTCAAATCAGGGTGTTTAAAATGGTATTTTCATAAAAAGCTATTTAACAACAATTTAAGCTATTGAGGATTATATCCAAGTGTTCTGGAAAGATGGGCAATGTATGACTTCATTGGGTCAAATTTATTCTTAGTTACATCAGGGTAAATCAAGAATATCTCTGCTGAAGTCCATGGAGTCATAGTGGAACAGCAGATTTTTATATGAAGGCTTTAAAGCATGTATATTAAAACTATATACCAGAACATTAATGAAGACAGTCAAATGCAGCTTAGTTGGTTCCCATTTCCCCAATCAAATTAATGTCACATGGGATAAAGAGTAAACAAAACAAGGATGTTAACTGGTTCAGTCTCCTCACAAAGGAAAGTGCCCACAACCACTGATGTTGCCCGGTGCATACATAAAATGTCTAGAACTCCAGCCATGTATAAACAGCACTATCCCTTGATTCATGGAGGCATTCATATTAGCCCCCCAGTAAGTCAGGGATACACAATACAGTAAAGAGGGGGCGGGAAGCTCTTATAACTAGAAAAATCTTTTTGCTTGTTGCTTCAGAGACTAATCAGGTATACTTGGACCCCATTAACAATTATTTCCTAACAAGAACAGCCACCTTCCCAGTTGCCCTTAGACTTTAGAGCCTAACCGTACGTAGTTTCCTCAAGCCACATATTCAGAATTTCTGTCACTCAGAACATGAAACAACTTGCAAGAGCCTACTGTCCCCTTTTTATTTATTTTTTTAATCCAAACTGGCCACAAGTAGACAGCCTTTAAGGCAGTTATTGCAGGGCCAGTCTGGTCATTACTGGGCCCAATACAGTGTGCTTTCTTGACTTCACATTTGCAGATGGCACCCTCCATGCCTGAATCTCAACCCTCCTGTGAGGAAGGAAAGAGTCAGCTGTCTCTACAACTCTATCCCTGAACCCCATGAAGCCTCTTGTACTCTGTCCCCAACCACTCCTGTGGAAGTCCCACAAAAAAGACAATACAGCCTACGTCACCTTTCTTGTAAAGTGGGGATCCCCCAACCTATAACTAAGTCCCTAAGGTAGCTGTGATAAGGGGATTCCCAAGCAGCATGGATCCAGCGTAGCTACATCACCAGGGGAATCATTATTATAGCTGCATATAGGAACCCCAATCAAGGATCAGGGTCGCACTGTGCTAGGCAACGTTCAGACAAATAACAAAAAAGACAATCCTTGCCCCAGAGAGCTCACAAGCTACATAAGGGACAGGATGCAACAGCTGAATGAAAAAGAAATGGGACGGGGAAGGGGATAGGTTGGGAAGATGAGGTAATAAAACAAAAACAGTTTAACAGAAGTCACAGCTTGCCACTTGCTTATCCAATGCCAGATGGGAGTGATTTGTTCATTCTCATGATAAATACATATTGTGGAGAATTATCCTTGCTTTTTATTGTGTTTACTACAAATTGTGTGGGGAAATTCTGGATGGCTCTCAAAGCAGTTGGAACTGTTGTTATAAACATTTTTCCCTCAGGTACAAGATACATGTTAAGTCACAAACTGAATATTGTATGGAGGAGGAGGAGTTAAACAGGATCTTAGTCTTTTCCACACCTCGGGTCATGTACAGTAGAACCTCAGAGTTACGAACACCTTGGGAATGGAGGTTATTCGTAACTCTGAGATGTTCATAACTCTGAACAAAACATTATGGTTGTTCTTTCAAAAGTTTACAACTGAACACTGACTTAATACAGCTTTGAAACTTTACTATGCAGAAGAAAAATGCTGCTTCCCCTTTATTGTTGTAGTAGTTTACATATAAGAGAGTACTGTACTGTATTTGCTTTTTTTTTTTTTTGTCTCTGCCGCTGCCTGATTGTATACTTCCGGTTACAAATGAGGTCTGTAGTTGACTAGTCAGTTCATAACTCTGAGGTTCTTCTGTAGTGGCATCAGTTTTTAGGCAGAACTAATTCAGTTCATTGGAGGACTTCATTCAGAACTTGATAATACTGTATGGTCTTTCAGATTTTCACTATGTAGAGAAACATCTGACTCCATTTAAAGAAAATCAGTTATTGAGCCATACCAATAAAATGTGTTCTGCACTAAATCCCTCCTGCAGACATAAGCAGAGGTGCATCTCACTATTCCAGAGGATTTGAGCACCCCAGATGTATGCAGAAGTCACAACTTTGAAATACTCTTGTGTATTACCATAAAGGAGAAGAATGTAACTATTGGTTTTGAAAACTGATTGATGCAACTGACATGCCAACAAATATGTTTGCAGTAGGTTTCTGAGAGATAAAGACATGCAGATAAGTACATCTACAAAAGGCTGGAAACCTTCCTTACCCCACAAACAGAAGGGCAAACGTTTAGTCTCCTAATGCTAATCTGAATTACTGAACTTTTCCAAAATCTTACTTGTAGGGTCTGAATACAGTATTATTTTCAAAGTGTTCTGACATCAGCTTAAGATATCTTTGCCTTTAAACCATCTGATGATTTGGTGGCCCGTCACCCAGGTCATCTATTTTAAACTATGCAATTTCTGCTACCCCTGAACACGTTTGATAACTTTGCTGAGTAGGTCCTCTCTAGATCTCTTGCCCCCTGAAAACTTAAAAAATCCAACCCTCCAATGCTCTGGAGTCAGCAATAGAACCAAAATGAAACTGCATCATGCAGGTGGCAATTTTGGTATTGTATGTAATAGGGCTGCC